GTTGTTTATTTTTTTGCAGCCACTCTACAAGGGCCAACTACAGAGGCTTCTTTTAAATCTTTGTGCTCATAGTGAAACGAGAATCTCTCTAGTGAGAATTCTGATGGACTTACTGATGCTTGATGTTAAAAGACCTGTCAGTTATTTAAGTAAAGTTGAACCACCATATAGATTATATGGTTGTCAGAGCAATGTAATGTATTCACGTCCTCAATCTTTTGATGGTAAGAATACTTGATTATGCAACATAAATACAGTTTGTCATTGGTGCTTATTGTTGTGAATCTTCCCAGTTATAATTTGTCTGAAATGTATTTTATTTTCTTATTTCATGAGCTTTTGCATACCGGAGTGTCCATCTTTAATGTTTAGTCTTTTTCTTGGCAATGGATTTATTTATACCTTTCATATTGTTTAATCACATAGGAGTTCCCCCATTGCTGTCTCGTAGAATACTTGAAACTCTCACTTATCTTGCTCGCAATCATCTGTACGTGGCTAAAATTTTGCTTCAGTTCAGACTACCTCACCCTACAATAAAAGAACCAGTTGACGAACGGGGAAAAGCTGTGATAGTTGGTGAAGGTGAAGAAAATATAAGTGAAAGTAATGAAGGGTACATCTCCATTGCAATGCTTTTGGGTCTCTTGAACCAACCACTTTATTTGCGGAGCATAGCCCATCTTGAGCAGGTGATGCTTTGGTTTTATTGGCATCTTTGTCATTTAATTTCACGTACCATCAGAGTTTCAGCCAGTGCTGACATAATTATCATGTATCTGTGGTGTGTTTTCAGCTGCTAAATTTACTGGATGTTATCATTGATAGTGCTGGAAACAAGTCATCTGACAAGTCCCTGATATCTACTACCCTGCCATCAGGTCCACAAATTTCTGCTGTGGAGGCAGACGTGAATGCAGATTCTAATATTTTATCACCTAGGGATGACACATCTACTGATGTTGAGGGTTCCTCCAAACCCACATCTTCTGGTCATAATGTCGAATGTGATTCCCATGGAGTGTTGAGTAATCTTCGAAAAGTAGAACTCCGACTCCTTTGCTCCCTACTCGCACAAGAAGGGTATGTGTTTGGCCTATGCTTGTTGTCAACATATCTGCCATTTGTGTATATTGTCATAATGACTAGGAGATTTTGTGTTCTTGACAGTGTAAGGGTGGGGGTGGTTTAACTCGTGACTTATAAGCATTAAAGTACTTTAGAAATAGTCAGCTTTATTGATATATGCATTTGCTTGCATATTTGTTTGTAATGCCACTGTTGAAGTAATCACCAATTAGAGCTTCTGGCTATAACTGTTGATATACAAAGTTGTTTTATTAACCTTGGAGTTGATCTGACATTTTGTGCATTACTATCAGATTGTCAGATAATGCATATACCCTTGTTGCGGAGGTAATGAGGAAATTAGTGGCCATAGCTCCAAATCATTGTGAGCTTTTTGTCACTGAGCTGGCAGAAGCAGTTCAAAAGTTGACTTCATCTGCAATGAATGAGTTACATGTATTTGGTGAAGCAATGAAATCACTGCTCAGTACTAATTGAAGCTCCATCCGTAGAAGTAGTACTTAGCAATGAAATCACTGCTCAGTACTACTTCTACGGATGGAGCTTCAATTTTGAGAGTTTTGCAAGCCTTGAGTTCACTTGTAACTTTACTGACTGGGAAGGAGAATGATAAAGGTATTCCTGCCCTTTCTGAGGTTTGGGAAATCAATTCAGCATTAGAGCCTTTGTGGCATGAGCTGAGCTGTTGCATAAGTAAGATAGAATTTTACTCCGAGTCTGCATCCGAGTCTTTGACATCTTCTAGTACATTTGTGTCTAAACCGTCTGGTGTGATGTCTCCACTACCAGCTGGTTCTCAAAATATATTACCGTACATTGAATCTTTCTTTGTGGTCTGTGAGAAATTGCATCCTGCTCAGCCAGGTGCTAGTCATGAATCAAGTATACCTGTTATTTCTGATGTTGAGTATGCTAGCACATCTGCTCCCCAGAAAGCATCTGGAACTTCTGCAAAAGTAGATGAGAAACATGCTGCTTTTGTACGGTTCTCAGAGAAGCATAGGAAGCTACTAAATTCTTTTATAAGGCAAAACCCTGGTTTGCTCGAGAAATCTTTCTCACTTATGCTGAAGGTTCCTAGATTTATTGACTTTGATAACAAACGAGCCCATTTCCGTTCAAAAATTAAGCATCAGCACGACCATCACCATAGCCCCTTGAGAATATCAGTGAGAAGGGCATATGTTCTAGAAGATTCTTATAACCAGCTTCGCATGAGATCAACTCAAGATTTAAAGGGAAGGTTGACTGTTCACTTCCAAGGGGAGGAGGGTATTGATGCAGGTGGGCTTACAAGGGAATGGTATCAATTGTTGTCCAGAGTTATTTTTGATAAAGGAGCACTGCTTTTTACTACAGTGGGAAATGAATCAACGTTTCAGCCAAACCCTAACTCTGTTTACCAAACAGAACATTTATCTTATTTCAAATTTGTTGGTAGAGTGGTGGGTCCCTTTTCAATTGTTTTGAATATTTTCTTTTAGTCATATATGATTATTTTTATACCCCTTTCTGTCTTATCCAGGTTGGAAAAGCATTATTTGATGGCCAACTCTTGGATGTTCATTTTACTCGATCATTTTACAAGCACATTCTTGGGGTCAAAGTTACATATCATGATATTGAAGCCATTGATCCTGGTTATTTCAAAAATTTGAAATGGATGCTTGAGGCAAGTGCATTTATTTAGACCTCTCCCTCCCTTTATATTTTAATCACACTTGGTTTATTGTTCAATTTGTGATGATTCTCTGTTTCTGGTATGATTGCAGAACGATATTAGTGATGTTCTGGATCTTACTTTTAGCATTGACGCAGATGAGGAAAAATTGATCTTATATGAACGAAATGAGGTATTTACAATGCTCTTAAAACTGATATGGAATGTTGGATTATGCATTGTTATATGGTCTAATTATGATCATATCTAGGTGACGGATTATGAGTTGATTGCCGGTGGACGGAATATCAAAGTTACTGAGGAGAACAAACATCAATATGTTGATTTGGTTGCCGAGCATCGGTTGACAACAGCTATTCGACCTCAGATAAATTCTTTCTTGGAAGGGTTCAATGAATTGATTCCCAGGGAGTTGATATCGATATTCAATGATAAAGAGCTGGAATTATTGATCAGTGGACTTCCTGATATTGATTGTAAGACTCGGTCCTTTACATTAGCTTTTATCAGATGTGATCAATGTTCGATTGCTCTCCCCACGAGAATTTGCCTGGAAGGGCAAATTTGACTGTTCTTTTATTTTATTTTATTTCAGTGGATGACTTGAGAGCAAACACTGAATATTCTGGATATAGTGCTGCATCGCCAGTTATCCAATGGTTTTGGGAGGTTGTTCAAGGTTTAAGCAAAGAAGACAAGGCTAGGCTATTGCAGTTTGTGACAGGCACATCAAAGGTATACTGCTATCGAGGAACTTTTCAAATTTTAATAGGCTACTCATTCCGGATATATTGCATGTGAACACCATCCATACGATCTACTTGAAATCGCACATGTTCATGTATTCAATTTATTTCTGAAGCATTTTAGTCAAGAGTGAGTCTATTGAGATCAGCTGCTTCAGGGTATGAGATGAGTGTGACTGAGTTTTATTCCTGAATGCATGCAAATGATCTTAGTAGTGTATCGAAATTGTGATGAAGGTCATAGAATTGTAAGGTCTTACACATTTTGTAAGACTCTCTGATGGATCCTGAGTAGGATTGTAGTGTAAAAGCTGATCATACTTGTAGGGCCGTGGAATTTGTGGGTTTTAAGCATTTGAATTTGTTTGATGCAACTGGGCTTTTGTAGGTTTGGGTGACCTGAAAGCCAAACTCTTTTTTTTCCCTAGTTCCTTTCTTTGCTGCAAGTCATTGGATTTTGAAGCTTTCTCTAACACCACCATTCAAAATCCTTTCCTCAAGCTTTTAGATCTTGTTCTAAGTCATCTCTCCTATTTGGTCTACGCTCTCGAGACCTGACTTGTCTATTATGTGTTGGGGCATCATCCATTCTTTCTTTGGCCAGATCATCAGTGTGTCTCTTCACTGTTCTACTAGATCTGACTGAACTGCTGAAGAAGCTCTAACTGGTTTTTTTTCCTGAAACCCATAAACTTGGCTTTTGTATCCTTTATTTGAAATAAAAGATATCTAGACTAATGTTCTTGTCTGTTCTCTTTCTGCTTGATTATTTTTCTTTTAGTAATTGCTATTGAATATAAAATAAATTTTAATATTATAATCAATATTTGAAGTATTCCCTAAATTTCAACGATTGTATGTATTAGTTGATCATTTTTATACATTTTCTTACTTTTGGTAAAATCTTAGGATTTTTGTTCCAATTGCACGAGTTTTTTCATACCTCTCCCCATAAGATTTTTTATTTTGACAACCTTGGATCTAAGGTTTCTCTGTACTTGGAAATATAAGATTCAATTATTTTTTAGGAACTCTTCATTATGATATGGTAATGACGTAGACACATTTTTCTTTTTCTAACTTGAAGCCGTAAAAACATCTACAATACAATTTGGGGGTCTGATTTTTACAACCAATGTTTCAGGTGCCTTTGGAAGGCTTTAGTGCTCTTCAAGGAATTTCGGGCTCCCAGAAGTTTCAGATACACAAGGCCTATGGAAGTCCGGATCACTTACCTTCTGCTCATACCTGGTATGTCGTTTTCCCCTTTCCAAATTCCATATATGCATTTGGTTTTAGTTGTGATTATCTGTGATGGATAATTATAGTGGTGTGATTTGAAGCAATCTAAAACTGAACTTTCTACGAACAGTTTCAATCAATTAGATTTGCCGGAGTATCCATCTAAACAACATTTGGAAGAGAGGTTACTGCTTGCAGTTCACGAGGGAAGTGAGGGTTTTGGATTTGGATGAGAAATTTCATCGGGGTGGGTACAAAATACAATGTATTACAATTTTAGGTTAGGAGCTATTTCAGAATAGAATCCAGTGGTACAGGGGATTGAAGTTTTTAAGTTCATATCATGTTAATATCTTGTACAGTCGTATATTTGCAATGGGAAATGCCGGTGGCAGTTTTTTAATCACCCCCACTCTGCACTGCATAATCAGATCTCAGAGCCTATACTCTTTGCAAATACTCTACCTGTTCATTTTCATACACCTTTTTTGTTATCGTCATCTTTGAGAATTTTTAATAGCAAAGTTTTCTGGTATTAGCATTTATAGTTGTAAAACTTCCACTTCACCAGTTCTCCCATGTGCATATTTTATTCTGTATTTCAAACAAAATTAGTGGTTTCATTCCACTTAAAATTTTTCCTTGTTTCGTTTTCAGTTCCTTTAAGAATATGAAACTCGTGAGATCAGTCTCATGCGTATAATTTATCTTCCTTCTTTCTCTCTTTAACCAAATAAATAAAATTTGACGTTAATTTATTACCTTTTGCTCTTTATCTCACTCTATCCAAACACTGTTACAGTCTAAAGAGGTTTTACAAGACACTGTAATTTTTTTACTTTCATTTATAACCTTCAAATTGTGCAATTTTAAAAAAAATAAAACTAGAATTTTTTTAGAGTTGCGGGCAAAAATTTATGAAGATACGGGAAGAAAGAAATTGTCCTCACGTAAAAGCGATGAGAAAGAACAACTGTAAAAAATAAGCCTTCTATTCCCCCACCTATTTCTCAGTTAGTGGATATATATATATGTGTGTATATATATATATATATATATATATAATCAAATAATTAAAATAATCACAGTAATAATTAAATAACGAAGTTGAAATCTTTGCTGTGATTTAACTCTTGAGTTATACACGCATACAGTGAATTGTTCTATTTGGCTTTTTAAATTAAACCGTCTTTATCCACTCTTATATTTTATAGATGGGAAAAGCATTGTTTTTTTAAGTCACTAACTTAGTTAATTTTTATCCATTCTTTATATGTTAAATGATTAATTTTAATTTCTTTTAAAAAATATAAAAAACACCAATTAAAAAGTAAAATTAATTAAAATTAAGTGATTTTTTTTAAAAAAGTCACTGAATCCTTTTTATTCTTCTTTTTGTTTCACTGTCATAATTAATGAATTATAGAAAATATAAATTTTAAAGTGCTTAAAAGTAAGGTGAGGGAAAAAATGTAATATATTAAGAACTTAAAGAAACTTTATAATTTTTACATTAGTCACTAAAAAAGAATAAATTTACCATACCTAATAATGATTAACTTCGAGTATAAAATCTACAAAACTTACACTGACAACAAATTTTAACTATCAATTTATGCAATGACAACAAATTTTTCATTACTATGTGTGCTTCAGTTGTAAACTTTTGAACTTCTGAGTGCGTCAACCTTTTCTCAGTTTATTATTCCTTGTCTTTCTTTCTCCATCTGTGGATGTTTTAATTAGTTACTTACAATCATGCTTTTAATCTCTATTATTATGTTCACAAATTAATTAAATGAATAAACACTATTAATTTGGTCCACAGCTTTAGGTTATTTGTCTCGTCAGCTTTCTGCTTAATAATTCTCCATTCTTTATTTTTCAAATAGTTTATCCTTTTTTTTTCAATTTTCTAAATAATGTCTTTTGTGATGTTCAGACGTATGGCTTAATATATTTTTATCTCCGTAAAATTATATTTTTTATATTGTTTCTGCCCCCACCTAATACTTTTGCATTGGTTAGGAGTTAAAATCAAGTATATTTTAAATGTTTCTTTTTCCTTTCATCATTCAAAAGGGCTTTGTTCACTTGAATGAATTTGAAGAAGAGTGATTAAAGGAATTTGAGAAGATTTAAAAATAAATTGTTTTGTTGATTTGGAAGTAAAGTTTGTGAGAATTAATGTAATATTTGATTGATGGTGACAGATTAAAAAAATTTACTTTCAAATCCACTCTCATTTACCTTCAAATTTTCTCAAATCCTCTCAATCACTCTCCTCCAAATCCATTCAAGTGAACAAAACCTTAAAGACAAAACCTTCTATGTTTCAAAGGAGATAATGTATAGTGATTGATCCTGACGATGTCATTCAAATTTTGGATTGGAACAGAAGTATCTATAGTGGGTTAATAAGAAAACTTTCGATCATATTAATTTTTTGAAAAATACTAATTGCATTTATAGAATCAACATGGACCATAAGTTTATGTTCCTATTACAATAATATTTACTTGGAGAATATAATAAATAGTAATAGAATAATAAATAATAATCAACTTATTAAACTTTCTAGATTTATTTGTAATATTTAATATTTATTTGGAGAGTATAATAAATAGTAATAGAATAATAAATAACAACCAACCTATTAAACTTTCGAGATTTATTTGTAATATTTAAATAGACATGTTTAGACTGATTTATAACGAAAAAACTTAAAAACTTTAATATGTTTATTACACAAAAGAAATACTTTTAGACTTTTATTCGTTATAGTTTTTACAAATAAGTTGGCTGATATGAAATATTTTATCATAAGTCCCAATCCATATAAAATCATGATTTTTTTATTATTATTTTAGACATTGGAAATTTTTTGTCTCTACACTTTTAAGACCAAAACTTCTCATTATTTATAACTTTTTTCTTCTTACTTGTCATATTTTTTTTTTCCAAGATGAATAGCATGGGTTTCAACTAAACATTATTTTTTCTTAGTCATGTTATTTATTTCAAATTAATATTGAATTTAGTCACTAAAATTTTATATTACTATTACCTTAGTGTAAGTAAATCTCAAGTAAGTCTTTGAACTTTAGGATTATTTCTAAATCCCTAAAATATACCGCTTTCAATTTGGTCTCTATTATAAAGACACTTTGTTATAATAAAAACATTAGAATACAAAATGAAAAAACATGTGATTAACTTTGTGGATTCCATGAACCCTAAAAATCCATATTTTCTTCTATTTTTTAGACTAATGAGACAAGAAGTTATTTACTTATTTTTTTATATTTTGTAGACTAATGAGACAAAATACAACTTTTATGAGTAAGATTAACCATTTACTTGAACGAGAAAATTAAGGATACATACATTGCTCATATATTTAGACAACTGAGATCACAACAATAACATCAAAAGCAGTAAAAAAAAAAAGTTTAGTATCTACAACTTTTAACAATGTTAATGGCCAGTGGTAGCAACACTATATATGAATCTTGAACTTTTTTGGAGTCTAAAACAGTGATGTTAACTGACCTCCAAATAGAAGAAGAAACTGTAACTCAGCCTTTTCTAACTTTGTTTCTTCTCTATTCAAATGGCAATCTGATACTAACCCAAGTTAGATATCATCATCATGTAGAAACATACTCTCTCTAATTGTTTAAAGTTTATAGTTTACAAAACATTAACCAATAGGAGAGTTTGTTCATTTCAAAAGAGTGTTGCTAACATTCTCTCATCGTCTGAGGTATTTCTTTCCTCTGGCATCATCTTCAATGATACTGCAAAGGGTAGGTGGAAAATCAACTGGCCACAAAACCACATCATTTCCCCAAACAACCATCTTAGCAAGATGATCTGCTGCTCTGTTAGTTTCACGCCATGAGTGAGAAATTTGATATTTATCAAACTTCTTCAATAGTTTCCAGATTTGTTTCAAATAGCTATCAGCTTTTGGACAATGCTGTTTTCTATTGACTGTCTTCACAACACTCATGGAGTCTGATTCCACCCATATTGCTTTGATCCCAAGGCCCCAGCAAAGAACAAGGCCTCTCCAAATGGCCCACAGTTCAACCAAGAAAACATCTCCTTGAGGCACTTTAGAGACAAAAGCACATATTGGTTCACCCGTATAATCACGAAGCAGCCCTCCAAAACTGGCACTATCTCTGTTGATAGAACCATCAGTGTTTAGTTTTGTCCATCCAAACTTTGGCTTTGTCCACTCACACCATCTTATGGATCTGGAAACTGGGTTGAGAATGTTAGCAATTTGGTTCAGATTCCTTATCAGAACCATACCTTTGATTCTTTTCTGAGTAGAGGATAACAGGTCTTTGCTATTTGTTTCATGGAACTCTACTCTTAGCTCTGTTTCCTTATCCTTGTGTTTCTTCCCTTTGAGATGTGCCCTCAAGCAATTTTCACTGGTAGTACTAATCTGACATAAAGCACAGCTCCATTCCTTCTGAACTAGTTTTTTTCTAGTTATCCTTGCATAACTGCTTTCAGTTCTGTCACAACCTGCACTATCATCCTGATGCAAACAATTTGTTAGGGGAAATCTGTCAATGTCTATTCAGACAATTACACATTAGAGTTAGAGTGAGAAAATATGATGAGGAATGAACAGGAAGCAGACACCTAATTGTAGACTGTTGCATATTGTTCAATGTAGTAAAAATTATATATGAGATTAATCTCCCTTGAGTTGAATACATAACCGAAGAAATATGGATTAAGTCCAAAATACAAATAAAGAATAATAACAAACAAACTAAAGATAAAAGATAAAAATAAGATATTTATCTAAGATATCTAATAATCTAATATATCTAACATTCCCATCAAGTTGGTGCACACAAATCGTATTTACTAAGTTTGTTATAAATATAATCAATAAAAATTTAATGAAAATATATCTTTTTACGTGATACCAAATTATTAATGATTTCCGAAGATGATATAGAAGACAATGAACCAACTCAGGAAACTCTCCCTGAGCAACAAATCCAAGAGATTACTTCATATAAATCTCTTCGTGCAAATCATTATTAAGGAACTCTAGTTGATAAAGAGGTCATTGTTAAATAAACTAACAATTGCAATTGGAGAAAAAGTATATATGGGCGGGTCAGACACACCTGGAAGAGAAGTTAGAAGAGACAGTAGATGAAGAAGCCATGGATGAACAGGAGAGAGATAAACCCTAAAAGTCCAAGATTTTCTAATCAAGGCACGTGAAAGAAAAAGAGGTGACCTTGACGCTTTGAATCACTGCCATAGAGGAGACGGGACAAGCGTCCATGCATGACAAACCTGAAAGTGGAAAAAGAATGACCTCAAAAATGTGAATCACTACCCTGCCTAAGAGGAGATGACACG